TTGGTATTTCTTATATTTTATTTGCAGATTATTTAGTCAAAAATAAGAACATAAAGCATCAATTTATTCTTTTGTAGGAGGAACATTAAGTCTTCTAATAACTGGTAATAACAATTTCTTGTATTTAGATGAAAAAAGACTCACCTAAAATTTGAAAAAAATTTTCATCGAGTTTAATTGTGCTACTTAGTAAATAATCAGTGCCATCGACTTCTCCATCCGAAATGGATATTTCTCCTGGACTTGTGGAACAATACGACGAAGGCATAATTAATAAATTAATACACTATTTAACTCAAACAACTAAATGGAACCGAACATGTCTTTCGACGGCACTTTAGTGACTAAGAAATATCATTGAAAATCACTTGGAAATAAAATTTTTGGTGGGAGACTGTTTATGTAGGAGAATCCTGCTTATCATTGAGATAACTACATAAAAGAATTGTTGAGATAACTATTTTTGAAATTTTTATGTTTTAATAATATATTATAAAGTTGTATAATTAACTAAAACAACATGTTATTTTGAGTATCATCTTATCCAAATTTCAGACACGTGCCATTTGAGCATCCCATCTCCATGATGCATGAGAATAAAGTGTTTCAATTATTATTTATTACGCATATTTACGGGTATTATTTTTCTATTTTAATATTATAGATATTTTCAATACAAGTTTTACGAAATTCAGAAAATAAATTATTGTTCCTAAATAATAAACTAAAAAAACAATATGTGTGTAAAAATTTTATAATTTTTGTTCCACACATTATTCAATAAATTCCGGAAATCCAAAATTGATATTCCGATTGTAAGTTATCTTAAGTAAATAAATTTGAAATGTCTCAACAACATGTTATAAATATTTCAAGACTGTGATATCAATTTCTTAATTTTTTAGTTTTGAGTTAATACATGTGTATTTTGAAAATAATATAAATATTATGTTTAATTAACGGTTTAATTAACAAAATAAACTTTATATAGATAGAAAATTACACGTGGCACAATTTGTACACATGTATAGAAATATAATTAAAAGATGTCAAAACATTTTTTTGATGCTTTCAAAACAAGAGGTTAATTTAAAACATGTGCAATTATTTTTCACCTTTGTAAATAATAATTAGATAAAAAAGGAATGGTATTCTGAGAAATAGATGACAGTTTTGAAACATTTTTAATTATCACTGATCCTGCTTAAACTTATCTAAAAAAGGGTCAATAAGGTAAAAGAAAAAATGATAAACGAAACAAGATATTATTTGAAATTAGGTTATCACAGGTCCGCGACCTTCCACAGACCCCGGATACTTTCTTTCTCATGCATGTGTTTCTTTTTTATAAAGAGTGTTAATAAATTGCCATCTCAACGTGGTAACAAAAATGTTTTAACAAAATCCCTAGTCATGAATACAATTTATTTTTGCAATATTTTGGTATTTATTTCAACCCATTTTACTACTAGACTTATCTCAAACTTAATTTTGGAAGAATTAGTGACAAATTGTACACAGAGATCCTATATTTTAGTTTGGTAAACAAGTCACGACCTTCTTATCGTTTAATGTAAATAACAACATTTCAAAATAAGTACGTTCCTTTTTGAGAAGATAAATTCAAGAATAAATGACTTAAAAACATTAGTCTCCATAAGTAAATATTTTTTTTGCATATTTTTTTTTTATTAGACATGCATCTGAAGCAGAAAAATACTTAAAGCTTTTAATATAAGTAATAAAAACATAAAAAAAAACTGTCAAAAAAGTGGAAAAGATGAAAAGCGTACCAGCAGTGGAAGGTGAGGTATCTGCGAGTGTCAAAATCACCTGTTGCTCTTCCATGTTTGAGAAAGTGCTAAAGGTCATGAGGAAGGAATTCCTCAACACCCACTATTCCTAACCATTGTAAATATAAACTGATTGAAGTAAAGTTAAGCATCCTTCATCGACTTTCGTGATTTTACATCTTTGTTGTTCTCTTTGGGCGAATAATAAAATAGAGAGATGAAAAATATGTCGACGATAGAACCTAACTAACATGCTCATGCGCAACTTGAATACTTGTTTTCAATTATTTAATAAATTTAACTTTTTATGCAATCAAATATACATCCTTTTAGCAAAGATGCGACCGTCACTTCTTTATCCTGACAACTAGAGAAAAAAATGACAACAAATCAAAATAATTTATTAAAAAAACGAACTGCTGGAAAGCTGGCAATATTTGTATTAATTTTGATGCAGATTTAGTGTATTGTTAATTTCAGGTAAAGTTTATGCAACTTTGATGCAGTTTCGGAGCATTGTTGGTTATATATTCTTTTTAGTTTATGCAACTTTTATACAAGTTCAGTGTATTGCTAGAAGTATATTTTTTGTAAACAGAATTTAGGTTTGTAGTTATTGGCATTAGACCGCTCCGGGTACCAAAAATCGACCAAAAAAATCGACAAAAATCCAAAAAATCAATTTTTTTTTTATTTTATAAAAAACTAGCACTAGCCAGAAATCGCGCCCCAGAGAAAAATGCCATATAAGGTAAGATACCCGGAACATGGAAAAAATGTTAAAAAAATTTTATCTATAAAAATTTCGAAGTTATGAGAGTTTAAAGTTTGCA